ACAAGGCATTCACTGTAAGACACCTCAAGTACAAGACATTTATTGTAAGGCACCTCCAGTACAAGGCATTCACTGTAAGACACCTCAAGCACAAGACATTTATTGTAAGACACCTCAAGTACAAGACATTTATTGTAAGGCACCTCCAGTACAAGGCATTCACTGTAAGACACCTCAAGCACAAGACATTTATTGTAAGGCACCTCAAGCACAATGCATTCGTTGTAAAACACCTCAAGCACAAGGCATTCATTGTAAGATACCTCAAGTACAAGACATTCGTTGTAAAACACCTCAAGCACAAGGCATTCATTGTAAGATACCTCAAGTACAAGACATTCACTGTAAAACACCTCAAGCACAAGGCATTCATTGTAAGATACCTCAAGTACAAGACATTCACTGTAAGACACCTCAAGCACAAGGTATTGATTGTAAGATACCTCAAGTACAAGACATTCACTGTAAGACACCTCAAGCACAAGGCATTCATTGTAAGATACCTCAAGTACAAGACATTCACTGTAAGACACCTCAAGCACAAGGTATTCATTGTAAGATACCTCAAGTACAAGACATTTATTGTAAGACACCTCAAGCACAAGGTATTCATCGTAAGGCACCTCAAGCACAATACATTTATTGTAAAACACCTCAAGCACAATGCATTCATTGTAAGACACCTCAAGCACAAGGCCTTCACTGTAAAACACCTCAAGCACATTGAATGACTGAGATGAGTCATCTTGGAATACAACATTATAAACAATGGCTTAAACATGATAATTAACTTTTCTGGTGTCACTAGGTAAAGACTGATTTTAATACAGTTTCTTTTAGCTCCCATAACTGTTTTCTGACACGCAATCTTTGACCATGCACGAGCGAGTTTCTCCATGTCAGAGTTTAAACAGATGCTTCAAATATTAGTCGAAGTGACAGTGAGGGTTAATTAAGATATTATATGTCTATAATTTTACACAAAATAACAAGTTTTCGAAAATTATTTATGGATTTAAATTAACTTTAAATGGATCAGTATGGAAACTGAAACCTTGCTCATATTGGATCCTACACTGTAAAATTTGTTTGTTTGTAATTATGCACAAAGCTACACAATGGGCTATCTGTGCTCTGCTCACCACGGGTATCGAAACCCGGTTTCTAGCGTTGTAAATCCGCAGACGTACCGCTGTGCCACTGGGGGGGGGCTCAGTCTTTAAAAGGAAAGAGGTTAGAAATGATAGATGAAAACCCAAATAAATGTATGTTTTTAATCAAAAAGCTACACAATGGGCTATCTGTGCTCTGCCCACAGTGAGTATCGAAACCCGATTTTTTGGCGTTACAAACCCTCAGACTTACCGCTGAGCTACCAGGGGGTCGATATTTTGAATCAAACATGTTTAAATGTTTTCTTAGAAGTAGTTTAGCTTAGAGAAGAAGAAAAAAAAAGGCTTAAATTAATTATGAAATACCTAAAGACCAAACCGGTAATGGAAGAGTTAAAGAAAGGAAATATAACGTAGGTGTCGCCACAAATCATAGAATACACACCTGACGTGGTTCTACTCCCAACTTTCTGTCAAACGTGTACAATGTTAAGCCTAAATGGAGCTTATCCACTTGTCCTGGGAGACTTCCTTTTGATTTCTGGCCACTTATTTCCGGCGGACTCCTACTGTTAGCACTAAGTGTAAATTCTAAGGGTTCTAAGTACTGCAGTACAAATTCTTCTCGCGACATCTGTCGGAGAGACAAACACATTCCAGGATGTCCAAAACATTTGAGTTCCCAAGCCTTGCGTAGTGCGTGTGCATACGTAAAAATCGCGTGAACGCTTGATGTTGCTCGCGATGTCCTCAATAAAACTTGTCCAGGAGATTCTCGAAGGACGTTGTTAGGGCAAACAGGGCGATGGTTCGAATCTTCTTCTGTCAGATCTGCAATTATGCACCTATTCTTTCTCATAACGTATTCTCGAAACCAGCGATCTTCTTGTGTCTCGGTCCCCGAATCCTGAAGCTTAGCCCAGTAATTCTCCAGCTGAAGAATGGCCTGGGGGTAGGGAGCGAGGGAGAAAACGTTCTTCAAGTTCAAGATACTTCCTAAAGTGGCAAGAGCTGATACATCAGGGATCCACGAAAAGAACCATTGCAGCCTTGAGACTGTGTGGCGATTTTCTCCCATTGCCTGAACTAGACGTTGAACAACCTTACCATGACCAATCACGATTATTGGCGTGTTCTCCTCCAACCTGACAGCAGCGGCTTCAAGAAACTTTCGATACAACTTTCGTCCAGATATGTCATCAGGGACTTCCTGTTCAGATGGTAGAGCCTTCAGTTCAGAAATACAAATTTTTCCACTCACAGCTACGTGATCAAGCATCTGGACCACACGAAGACTGTGTTCGTCATCTGTATGAAAAACTACGATTTTCTCCCATTCCATGTCATGGGCCACTTCTGCTGTGGTCTAGAAAAACAAACAACAACCCAAACGGTAACAAAAACTTGAAATATCTATTATATCTAATTCTTATGAGAAACAGTTTTAACTAAGTACATCGTTAACTGATTTCAAATTACATTTCCTCACCAGTAGCACATTAAATAAAACAAGTCAGTAGCACATTAAATATAACAAGTGAATAGCACATTAAATATAACAAGTGAATAGCACATTAAATAAAACAAGTGAGTAGCACATTAAATAAAACAAGTCAGTAGCACATTAAATAAAACAAGTCAGTAGTACATTAAATATAACAAGTCAGTAGTACATTAAATAAAACAAGTCAGTAGTACATTAAATAAAACAAGTCAGTAGTACATTAAATAAAACAAGTCAGTAGCACATTAAATAAAACAAGTGAGTAGCACATTAAATAAAACAAGTCAGTAGCACATTAAATATAACAAGTCAGTAGTACATTAAATATAACAAGTCAGTAGCACATTAAATAAAACAAGTCAGTAGCACATTAACTAAAGCAAGTCAGTAGTACATTAAATAAAACAAGTCAGTAGCACATTAACTAAAACAAGTCAGTAATACATTATGTAAAGCAAGTCAGTCAAACATTATGTAAAGCAAGTCAGTAGCACATTATGTAAAATATGTCAGTAGTACATTATGTAAAGCAAGTAATTTTTCTTTCACTTCCTTTGAATAAACTGTCCAATCGACAGATTAGGTCATTTTTTTCCTGTTATCGTTGAAGTTAAAAATAATAAGAATATAATTTAGTATTTAGAAGTACCTAGTAGAGTGAAGATTGGAGTTGGAATTATATTTCTCGATACAACGGGGACTTTAGGCGTAGGTTTTACTTTCTTACAGTCCTTATAATCATGTATGTTTGCAATTTCAATCTTTGTACACGTGAACATAGGTTTACTTATTTTTTACTTTACATGACTAGATTTTTTGTAATTGACCCATGGTTGGTGTCTCTATCCGAATGGTAATCCTGATTAAGTTTTGGGTTTAAATTAGTATCTAATATCGTTAATTATAAATGTCATAAAGTATTTAATAAATTCCGATGATTGCACACACACACTGCAATTGTTACTCAGGGGGACATCTATTCAGTTGGTCCATGAAATCAGAGTAAATTATCATTGTTTTTAAGAGATTTCTATAAGTAAGCATATTTTTTATGTTATAAAATAATCACGAACCATTGCAAGACGATCTGGTGATACTGTTTCGCTGAACTCCAGAGAAATGCTGGGTGTTACGTAGTCCTGAAGTGATTCCATGACTTTAGGCTGCTTTGTTGTCTTTGTCGTGTCCAGTAAACCTGGAAATCAACATGTTTAATTATTTTTATTTTTATTTAAAAGTATTTGATTATTTTGTTAAAAGACTTGTGAGCACATGAATATCTAGAAAGTGAAATATTTTTGTGAAAACATCAAATGATTATAATAAAATAAATAAATATAGAATTCACTACTCCTCAAAACTTTAGAAAAACAGAGTAATATTGCATGCAAGTTCTCTTCAAGGAAATAAAATCAAATGATATTCCAAGCAAGTTCTCTTCAAGGAAATCAAATCAAATGATATTCCATGCAGGTCATCTTGAAGGAAACACTAAGAGTGATACTCCATGTGAGCCCTAGTTATCTTATACAAAAGTAGGTTACGGACCAAGAATGTACATACTTTAATTTAATATTATCTTAATGAATACATACACATATTATTTTTAATTATCGAGCAAACGTCAACCTAATAATGTGACACTCTAAGCTTATGGGGGAATTTCGGCATTGATATTTAGTATTTTCAACCTCTCCGTCATTTTAAGCAACACATGGGCCAAATGACCAGTTTGTGACACACGGGCCAAATGACCAGATTGTGACACATGGTCCACATGACCAGATTGTGACACATGAACCAAATGACCAGATTGTGACACATGAACCAAATGACCAGATTGTGACACATGAACCAAATGACCAGATTGTGACACATGAACCAAATGACCAGATTGTGACACATGGGCCAAATGACCAGATTGTGACACATGGACCAAATGACCAGATTGTGACACATGGGCCAAATGACCAGATTGTGACACATGAGTCAAGCGACTGTGCTGCGACACAAGTGTAAAGTGGCCAGGTTACAACGCACGAGTCAAGCGACCAAATTGTGACACACGAGTCACGTTAAATACCCCCTTAAGTTCAAGCATTAACTGTCCCTAATTTAGAACTACTAAATAATAGGAATAGCACCTGCCGACTACTATATGGTTCCTCTTAACCGAATAACAGTTACAGCTATAATGCCCTAAATAAGAAAGTGCGGCGTGTGTTCAGTACATATGATTATTTGAAACTTATACCTTC